ATCCCATACCTGGCTGTGTTCAGTATGTTACATGTAAAAGTGATAACCCAGAAACAGATAGTCCTTTGTGGCAAATCTCTTCTGGGAGAACAGATGCAGAGCTTCAATGCATATCTATTAGTCAGCGGCAGATACAACAAAAATGTATTTTAAATCAGTTTAGTAGCGTTAATTTAGCCAGACCTATGTGGTATTCTAAGAGACCTCTTAAAACCGTAGATGTAACAGTCTATGTACATAAAAGTAAAGGTTGGGATAGGCTTTCCAGCACAAAGAAAATTCTAAACTGTGATGAGGTTTACAGCAGAGGTAAAGTGAAACACCAGGAAAATAATTCTAGAACAGACAAAAGTAAGAATCAAGATAACATTTTCAGTAGAGATAGACAGAAATATTCAAGCACAGACAAAAGTAAAGTTAAGAATATAATTTCCTGTAGAGATAAAAGGAAATATCAGGAACAAATTTCCAGAACAGACAAAAAAGAGAAGATTGCTGTTTTACACTCTAGTAAAGAAAAAGATATAGTTTCCAGCAAAGACAGGAATATTTTGAAGTTGGGTATTGCTGCACAGATCAGTGAAAATTATGACAGGATATCCTCCAATTTATCGACAAGACATGCACAGTGTTCTGCGACAACACAGGGCAGAGCTTTAGATGTGCTGGATGAGCTTTCTTGTGAGGATACATCTACAAACTCAGGCTGGTCACGGTTCTGGTATTTCATGGCACATATGTTTACAGGCTTCTCAAAACCACTACCACATCAAAATGATGTTGAAAACCAAGAGTTGATGATTATTAAAAACAAACAAATGGGTCAGAAATTGAAAAATTCTGACCACAAAGTACATTGTTTTAAGGGTAAATGGGGACACAAGTACAATGAATCAGGAGTAAGCTTATTTAACATCAATTCTTTACATAATAAAAAACACATGCTGGAGAACAGTATTTGTATTACAAATGATTCTGACAGTAAAAAGCACAGAAGAAAGAAGATAATTACTGGCATAGACCTGATTACTGGTGAGGGAAATCCTGATTTAACAGAGTATGATAAAATGACAACCAGATCAAAAGTTAAATTATCACAGGAGAAAAAGTCCAGCAATGGCACTGATTGGAGAGAACCTACAGAGAATATATTGTTTAGAGATCAGGTTGAGGATCCTTGGTCTGAAACAGATTGTTTATCAGAAGATAAAAATATCGAGAAATGTTCGTATGTCCTGGTTCCCCAAGATCACAGTAACAGTGATACACAAGTCAGACAAACTCATGATAAATCAGAGTGTCAGACTGTACATTCTGGCAACACAAATACTTTTACAGACAATAAAGAATTTATTGGCCTGGGTAAATGCAAACAAGGTCTTCATAAATCTCAGATACCAGTGTTTGCGTCTAGATTTTCTAAAAGTATAATGTCAGATTTAGATAATGAAAAGATTGCTAGAAGATGTCACCAAAAGGAAGCTGATTCACGAGAAAACAAGGGGCAAAGGGAAAGTGGAAATGAAACTACAGTCACACACCATAATTTGTTGGAAACTGAGATCTTTGAGTTGATGAAAGAAGATGAGTCAGAACAAAATTATTTCTCTGCTTGTCAAACAAGTGCAGATAAAACATTTAACGTTTCTGCAGCTGAGAGTGCAGACACAACTGCACTATGGAAAGAGTTTTCTCAGTGTCATGGTACATCAGAAATGGATGGCACCATACACGAAATGGGAGCTGCAGAAACTGATGGTATATTGCCAGTAAGAACGTCTGCATCCATCAAAAAAGACACCAGTAACATAATTCAATTTCTAGACTCATCTGCAAGGATTAGAGACAAATTCAGTATTAATAATGCTCAAAGTATGTCAGTGATAGGAAATACTGAATCAGAGCAAGAACATTTATGTCTTCGCCAAAACAGTGAGACTCATACATGTCATATTTTTATGGATGAGAGTGAAGATAAAACTGCAGTTTTTGACAAATGTTATCAGTGTGAAAATAAATCAGAAGATGATGCCACCTTACATGAAATAGGGCTTTTAGAAACTGGCAGTAAATACAGTATATTACCAGTAAAAAAGTCTGCATCCATCGAGGATGACAGCAGTAACATAATTCAGTTTCTAGACACACCGGCAAGGATTAAAGAAAAAGTCAGTATCAATACTGAAAGTATGCCAGATGATGAACATTTGGGGGACTACTTCCAGAATCTTGTAACATTAAACCAGAAAGTGACAGCAGACATCGCACCAGACTTTGGTCAGCATGGCCAAGGCTGTAGTAGAGATGAATGTTGTGATCTGACTGAAAGTCAGCTGCTGCAGTCATCCCTAGAATGTTTACTAGAAATGCTTCTACAAAGAGGTTAGGATATTTTTCTACTTGAAGATTAAGTTTGTTACAAAAATGACAGCAACTCTATAGATGCCACTGCTGATGCATGCAGTAATTTGACTAATAAAGTGATGTGTAAGGGCTAGTTTCCATCCTTGTCACCTTTTTTCGCTCCCCCCCCCCCCACCCCAAAAAGTGAGACAAAAGTATTTAAGTAGTGCTGAGTAAAGCAAAGATCCCTTTCCATGCCTTTAAGCGCATTGGGCATGTGGGAAGAGCACCCATATTTTTACAGACCAATCGGCACTAGGTGGGTAATGTGGTCAGCATTACGCCGGCCATCTTTATTTCCCCAGGAAATACATCCTGGTACCCATTTTGGGCTTGGTCGACCTGTGGCGCCCTACACCTTAATAAAAATCCACGCAGCCAGCAGTGGGTTTTGATCGCGGTACATTGTAATTATGAGTCGCCTAAGCCACGGATGCCGCAAGTAGTGCTGAGGAAAGTGCCTTATTTTTTCATCATCTTCTCTTATCCTTTTCCTCTTCCTCCAGATGCTGCTGTTTTTTTTTTCATTTACTTGGGATCAGCCTGTATCTATAATTGTGTTTACTGCATCAAATATACTGTCTTCCATTTTCTTTCAGACTTCTGTAACATTTGGCATCTAGATTTGTTTCACATTGAATTAACAATTTTTAGCTCTACTTCCTATATGTATCATGGGTTTTGCAATGTTTACATTTTTCTTATAGAATTTTACAAGTCTACAGATTACTTTTCTGGTCCTGTCTGAAAGGTAGCAGTGATTGTATTGTTTAATAGGAGGCCATTTGAATGTTTTGTTTGATATTAGCCAGGCTTCAACTTTTTAAGCAGTTTGGACTGAAGACACAGGAAATAAAATAAATGCAGTCAGTGACAGAAGAGGACTGCTGTCATCAGGTTTTCAAACAAAGGAACCTAAGCCCCTGCTCTGTCTGCAAGTGGTGGTTCTGGAATTAGCCTGCTTCACTGCGGTCTTACCAACTGTAAGAAGGATTAAAATAGAAAAAAGTCTGGAAACTGCTATGTTGATATCAGCTGAAATACACAGCTATCACAACTTTGCTCGCCATGGGCTCCATTGTAGGGAAAACAAGAATAGACTCACTGCCCACCTAAAAGCATGTCGTGAGAGTCGACAAATTGAGAGCTTCCTTCAAAGTGCATTTGCCTGAGAGGCAAGCAACCAACAGTCTGTATACAAATGAGTCAGATCTGTAAAACAAATGCGCACCCAATACCCAGGTTCTGGAACATATCTACAGTCCAGACGTGGTCGAACAACCAGAACTTTCCACCAGTTTACAGCTGGTGAATGCGAAGAAAAAGAGGAAGACAACTTTGCTAAAATTGAACACAGTGCAAGCAACAACCTCTTGATTTGTAAACCCCTGTGTTGATATGGTTTATGATATATCTTGTGTTTGGTCTTTAGTTTTCTTTCAAAGCTACAATCACAAGGACTATCTTTTGTTGACAACACACTCTGGCATCTATAGCAGTTTTATTTTTCATTTTCTTTTGCATTTGCCTTTGTTTTGCCATGTTGTGTTTGTCATTTACAGGTAGGCTGTGATTTCTGCAGCTTTTGGTTCAAGACATCCAACTTCGGCAAAGCTCTACCTAGTCACTTGGCGCCCGGAGGAAAGGGAGGGTGTGGGGGGATTTTTTACTGGGTCTACCCTGTACCGCTTTCCCCCCAAATGGGTCTTGAAACCCACACAGGGAAAGTGTATTATATGATGACTTTGCTAATATCAGAAAAGAGGTAGTAGTGAATAGCTAGCTGGGGTAGTCATAGAAGTCTATGTTCAGTATCAGGTTGTGTCCTTTCTTCTAATCATATGTGATACTGGGATCTGTCTGACATTATCATTAATGTTATTTCTAAAGAAAAATGGTAATGAAATGATATTGTCACTCCACATTGTAATACTTGTATATGATTAGTACCCCTTCAGTTGTAATTACAGTGGGATTACCTACACATTTGTATATGCTAACCTTAAGCATATTCTGTCTGCTTATGCTGAACTGTGGAAGTCTATTAACTTGAGCAAATCTTGCTAGTCACACTTGCCTTCATCTTTTCCATTCCTCCCTTTGGCACAGTTTAGCACTGTTTTCTGGAAAGATGGAAAGGCACAAACAACTCTTGAGCCTTATCATTTCTAAATCATACATCAATCAGTCAGGTGTGGTCAGCACAAAGGAAGTTGGTTGCAGTGGATCTCCAGCTCTTTTTGCCTTTTACAACTTGTCATTTGTACAGCTGTCTCTTCAGCTTTTGATATTATCTATACCCTCCCCCACCGGCCCTTTCCAACCCATCCTGTTAAATCTTTTGTTGTTAGTTGAAACATTTCATGTGGTTTTTTTGTCCCTCCACACCCCCTTTATTTATACCCACTGCTGTTTCTCCAAAAAAGCCATTTGTATTTATTACTTATTTTTTTTTTAAATTTTATTAGATGAATTTATTGGAATAGAGTCACCTTAAAATGCCGTTATCCTAACATTACAGTTAGAGTTTGGTAAGACATACAGTTTTGTTTGAAATCTATGTTAATAACTCTATATTTGTTGAACTCTCCCAACAGGAAAGGTCACCCATGCATTTATTACAAACAACGAAGGCGAAGTCCTGGCAAAAACAGCCAAATGTAGTGTTACAGCACAGGACATCAACAGTATCCTGTTCAGTCTGTTCTCTAGCTACAGGGGGATGGTGAAGATTACAGTCTTCAGTGATGTGTACACATGCTTTAAACATGATGAGCATTCACTGGTTGGGCGAGCGAGCACCGACATCTTTGTTGCTCGTCGTGGTCAACAGAGTATTGTTGTCGGGTTCTGTGATGCACTGACTCCAGGTTCTTGTGTGAAGGAAGTACAGGAGATATCTGAACTTTTGAACAAGAGAGGGCTGTAGTCTGTAAGTAATTTAAGTGAATCTTTTATGTATCTGAACCTTTGAACAAGAGAGGTCTGTAGTCTGTAAGTAATTTGACTCTTTTATATATCTGAACTCTTGAACAAGAGAGGGCTGTAGTCTGTAAGTAATTTAAGTGACTCTTTTATATATCTGAACCTTTGAACAAGAGAGGGCTATAGTCTGTAAGTTATTTAAGTGACTCTTTTATATATCTGAACTTTTGAACAAGAGAGGGCTGTAGTCTGTAAGTAATTTAAGTGATTTTTTTATACGCCTTCGAAGTTATTTGGTAAATGGGTCCTTCTATAGGTTCCAGGGCCCCATTTATGAGTGTGTTGGGGGTGGGAAGATAGTACAAGTATGTAGTAAAGGGCAACTAATTAGGACTTTTCTACAATTTGATGTTTGGGCGCAGATATCACAGCCTAGTTGGAAACCATTAAACAACATATCAGCTACCCTTTTAATTAATTGTCAGTATGATTTCAGGTCACCCATGCATTTACCACAAACAACGAAGGCACTCATTGGTACCAGGTTTAGGCTTTGCTGCCTTTGGTACCCCCCCCCCCCCCCCCCCCCCCCTTTTCTCCAAACTCCCATCATTTTGTTGTTAAAAATTATTTTTGTTTCAAAGGCTAAACACATACTCATCAGGTTAGCATGATGACAGTGTTTCTTTAGGACTAACCTACTGACCGTTAACACCTAGAACATGCATCAGTTTGCAGTAAGTGTAGCAAGATGACATCTTTAAATGTATTAATCAAGGGTTTGTTTTCCAGCTCTACTGAAAGCAGATCACAAACTGAAACATGGACTCAAGAACTAGCAAAAGACATTAAGTGTCATTATGATTCTAGAGTTCCACGCTTATGTGCTGGAACCTAGTTGTTCAGACCCCTTAAACCTCCTCCTACCCACATTTTGTTAGATTAGGGTTTCCAGGCCCAATAATGTTGTGAGAGGAATAAGAGGCCTTCGTTAACCATGTATAGAAATTCTCCTAAGAAATACTTGTTCATACATTTAATATTATTTTAAGTAAATTATTTTCATATTATTTGCCAATCATCATTTTAATCATCATAATAATAATAGTAATAAAAATATGTTGAATTGTAACACTATACTGAAAATATTATAAATATCAAACAAATATGTATAATAAGAGTTTCTATACATGGATATAAGGGACCTCTTAGCCCACTTACAAACTCCTTAAAGGGGCCTACGTTTGGTGCACAGCAGCAGCCAAATTAGCCAGTAAATGTTCACATTTTGCTCCTGATACTTAACTCTTTTAATCCTAGGCAGTAGTTAATTTAACTCTTTCTGTCAAAAGCAGTGTAACCATAGTCTTTGAAAACTGCATTAGTTTTCAGTTTGCTGATTCACATTTGTACTTTCAAAGTGACTTCATCTTCACAATCGTGAAATAAAATGACAAGTTTTGTAACAGTTATTTGTGACAATAAATTTGTTAATTTATTTAATTGTGTGTTTGCTTTAACGATTTAATGGTTGCATAATATGTTTACATTTATACACAAAAGATTGAAGAAATCTATTTTTTTTACTGTTATGTGGAGCCCTGGTGGTGTAGTGGCTAGGCGCTCACCTGCGAAAGTTCAATTCCTGGACTTCAGATCAACCTCCATTTTAAATGGATACCGGGTAAAGTCCTGGGAAGTAAAGGTGGCTAGTGTGATGTTGATCACATCACCCACTGAGTGCAGATTGGTCTGTACAAAGTAGGTCTATCCCAGTACCCCTGATGGCTTGGAGAAAGTCAATTTACTTTACTTTTTTACTTGTATTTTGCACCATTCTAAATCTGAATTTAACATAAAGTATTTGGCCTATGAAATGTAGGCCTCTGTGGTCTAAAACCGCCATGGTTAATAAAAGCTCAGAATATTAGGGCAACAGTTTGAGTGCTGCTGCAAAAATGTGATGTTCAGGTATTGATCTTGCATGCACACTGTCACCTTCTGACCTTGGAGATAGAAAACAGGAGACCAGTCCCATGGAGGTGGTATTTCCGCGTGTCGTGTGCCTGATTTAAGGATTTCTCCTTAAGAACCAACAGCACTCTGAAATAGGATAATGTTGAGGCGTCGGCTCGTATTGGTCTAAGGGATATCCCGCGGCCAATATACGCTCAACCTATTTCAGGAGTAGGGCAACTCAAGTTATGGCATTATAGAATATCTAATAATCTTAGGCGCAACTTGGCTGGACACCCCCACTACTATAAAAAGATAGCTCCCAGGCTATGATAGTATACTATCACAGCTATGTTAACACAGATTAAAATTACTAATCACACAAACATAAAAGCTAGAGAGTTAGAATAGTGAAACAGGGACACACAAGTCAGCAATGAAAATTTCTGAATGGATGTAATAATTGCAACACATATATATCAAGACAATCAAAGATGGTCCCCGGTGACTGAAATTCGGGAACTAAAGTAGATGCAGTACTGTTGAAACAGCCAGATTTAGTTCCTGAGAGTATCAGTGATCATTCCTGTAACTCGGGTTAGACCTGTAAATAGAGCATGTGGTATGTCATCTCAGATGTTACTTATCAGTTTGGTAGGTCACTGCTCTCCTCAGTCCAAGGTGATCTGAACAGGCTGACTCAATAGACTGCTTTTCTTCTGGTTGATCTGGCAAATACTGACAGCATTCATGTATGGGAATAAAGGAATTGTGCTGGCGCCCAACAAAGCTCCTGAAGAAGGATTCCTTGGAGTGATGACACGGGTGGCCTGACAAAAACTGCCTCTCAGCCACTGGAACTCACACAAGCTCCTGTCATGTTGAAGTTATGGTGATAGTTCATACGATTGGTGGATGGTAGTTGGTTGGACTGTGAATCGTTTGCCTGACTTCCAGGGAGGTATCATCCTGTGTCAGGAAGGAACTTAGAATTAGTATACATCTTAAGAGTTAAATACCAAGCTCAATTTATTTCCCTCTACCCTTCTCAGCCACTCAGAGGATAGCTCTCAGGAACAGGAGACAATTCCCCCTTCAATTATTTCTGTCTGTCAGTCAGTACAAGAGATAGCAAACAAGGTCCATAGTGGAATTAGATAGGCCTAAAACTCATAGATCATCCTCTCTCCACCTTCCCATCTACACTTGCAGACACACATTATATCTCGTTCTTACATATATATTTTACACCTCCACAATCTGCCCACTGCACACACTGTTGTTGTGCTAAAATTAACATCTGACGTCACAGCGACTTGTCAGCTGAAGTGTGACCCAGTTAAATATGTCCGCCAATTGACCCAAACTCGGTCGGTTCGTTAAAGAATAATTAGCTTGCTAGGTTTAATATAATTATAATGGTATTGGGCCAGGTAGGGCACACACTATCAGCTTGTGAAGGGAAAGGTTTGATTTCAGGGGCTTGAGTGTCTGGACACCAAGAACGGTCTAGTTCTGTGCTGTCACCCAGCTGAATCTTTCCTCCATGCAGCAGCGGCTAACTTTATAGAGACATAAATCATGGTACTCGTAAACTATAATCGACTTACCCAAGCTTAGGAATCCTTCAAAGATTAAACAGGTATTTTGAATGCGCCAAGAGATTTAATCAGAGAGGTGAAATACTTCTATACGCCTAGGAAGTCTGGCAAAGAATGACCCCGCCTGATCTCGCTTGGCGTCTCTAGAAAGAAGTCCCGTATTAGTACCCCAAAGAGTAAAAAGGTTTCCGTGAATTCTGAATATTATTCCAGAAAATATCTATCCCACAGTTGCAAGTTTGAAAATGTAGACTTTTCAAAACAACTAGAGGGTATAGAAATATCTACCCCACCATATAGAGGTATAAATTGATATGAGGGACTATATACCCACCGGACGGGTCTAAATTTGAAATGTGACCTGCCCGCTAAGAGCGTCAACATCATGAATAGTCCAATGTGCAGGGTTTGGTTGATTCACTCCACGACAGTTATAAGGAAAGTTAAACATTTTTCACTGCTCAGACTGATGTAAAACAGCAGATGAGAGGAGTGAAGACTAGTGTAGGTAATGTATCAGACTTGAAGAGGTATAACTTAGTCTAGACAGTCCATCAGAATTAAAGAGTTAAAACTCATTGTGGATATGCATCAGACTTCCGGAGAATTCAAAACCAGCTGGCGGACTGACTTTTCACACTTTGATAAGGAGCGGGAAACTACTGTCTGTATGAAGAGGTTGCTATCATTAGGGAGCCACTTTTCGCACAAACCTTTGAATGGGCAGTAGTTTACAGATACGTTAGCTTCTGTATATAATCGCTCTTTGGGTACCAGGGAACCTATCTGACTTTGATAACTAATTTAACTGTCATGTGGTACTGAAGTGCATAGGGGTTCATGGCAAAAAATTATTGGCCGTCGCTTAGTGCAACACAGCCTGGCATATGATATCATAACATTTAGTTTGAGAATGGTGGTGGAGACAGTCACTGCTGTCTTCCGCTGGCTTAAGAATCAGCTGTGCACACATGCCGTAATTGTAACTGACACACAGAGCATGTTGAGAAAGGTGAAGACATTCTTGCGCCGTGCAGAGTGGCAAGCATCACTTCAGGGGTCCCGGGTAGTTATAATCCTTTGAATATTTTTTCCAGGTCATGCCGGTGTGTTGGGAAAACTAGCAGGTAGATAGACTGGCCAGTTCCGTACCACTTGATGGTGACAATCTAGATCATGCGAGGGCCCTTTGGGAGCAAGTAAATAGTACGAAGCCACAAATATATCATTACCGTCTGAGGAGAATGGCGCTGCGAGGCGTTACCTGAGGATCTGGACGACACTCAACACCCTAGGGAAAGGCGAGACGGATTTACAATCAGACATTTACTGGTGCGATCTGAACTGGAACTCTTCGCTCGCTGCTGAAGATGGGGACGGAGTGCTCATAGGAGTGTCCCGAGTTCTATGATGATGATTCCTAATTCAGCATGCTGGTACCTAAAGA